AGAGAGAAGAAAAGAACAAATACAAATTGGGACATAAAGAAACCATTTGTAAACAAATGGGATTTGAGAAGGAAATATACAGGTTAATTAATAAAAAATATCACATGTAACTTGTGGAGGGAATGTTCTTGAGGAACAAAATTTTCAAAACAAAATGAGTGCTATTTCTTTGTAGGAAGATTAGATCTAAGGTATTTCTTCCTTAGAGGTGAAATTCTTCCAATGAGATTAATAACTAAAATTATTTTCTCGTAATGTGGTTTTAGTGTTTTAAGAAATTTATTTGATGAGGTTGTATTTTTGGTATCATATGACAAATTAAATACGATAATTTTCAATTTTGTTTCTTTTCTATATCTTTCTCAAGATATTTTGGTTCGTTTTTCTACTTTGGTGGAGAGAAACAATAAAAATGGAGGGAAGATTTTTATCTTTTGGTAGGAAACAGACTGTATTAGATTTAGGATTAATATGGCAAGAGGGTTTTGGAGTTAGATTGCTAGTTGCTTATACTCTTCCACAGAGGAGAATATTTCGTGTAAGATGAAATACTATCGTTAAAAATTCACATAAAATGAAATATGTATTATAGTTTTATATTTATTATCTGTATTGAATATTGATATATGGGTTGAAATTTGAAAATTCCTGGATGCTGCTTTGAATAAGTATTTTCGAAGCTTCACCTACGGATGCAAATATAATATGAGCGAATTCCTTAGGTTCCCTCCCCCCACCCCCTCTTTTTTTTTTTCTTGATTTTTGTGGTTCCTCCAAACAACACTATATCAATCACAACATAATAATTAAGGGGACAAAATTTTGAAAGTGATCAAGTAGTAATAATAACAATACATGTAGTGTTACAACCCAAGATGATTTTTGTTGAAATATTAGAAAATATATAATATGCTACTAAATATACCCAATCATTCTGTAAACCTTTTGTGTTCACCTGTGTGTGTGAAAAAACCATCTTGTACAAGGTACATTTTTTTTTTGGAGAAAAATAATGGATGAAAAATAGAAATCTTACTCACCTAACTCCGAAAATCGGTAAGAGGTTCAGCTTCACCACCAACCAAATCATTAACTATGGATTCAATTGGTTTCCTAACAAATCTGACTAGTTCATCATTTCTAGATGATTGAAGAAGCCTCTCTTAGCTTCACATAATCATCCCCTTTGCGTAGCTTCCTTCCCTTCCTACCCCTTTGCTGAACACTCGTTGGATGTTCTGGTGACTTTCAGTTTGAACTCGGATCCGATGCCAGTAGAAAGGAGGTGGGCTTTAGTTGACAGAGCCACGTGTGACATTATTCGGAAGGTAGAACCTACGGTAGGCTCTGAAAAACACAGAAGAAACGTTATCAAGTATATCGAGCAGTTGTTGGTTGGCTCGAGTACTTGTAAGGTTGTTACCTCTTTTTAAGTTCTATTCGTTGCATTTTGATGTACAGTCAGTAAATTGTTAGTTTTTCTATTTCTTTATTGGATTTTGGTAATCTTTGTGTATGCAACCTAAAAAAAATAAAAAAGATGGTTGAATAATTCCTTTTCCTGGAAGGGATGGACTAAACACGGCCATATTGGAAATTTAGTTTGTAATATAAAAATAATAAAAATGGAGTTTTAAGTATAATCATTAAGTTAAAAAAGTTTACAACTCTTCACATCAAGTTTGCGACTCTTCATATAGGGTGGTTGTTATTGGTTTATCAGTCAAGGGTTGTGTACTTAATTGATATCATTTGAATTTTAATGGCTGTGCCACTATTTGCCTATAAATAGGTGAGCTTCTACAGGATTTCATTTAATTTTGCTTTAAAAATCCCTAGAGAACATTCAATGAGGTGTAAGTTGAATGTTCTTGTGTTCTTAGTGTCCTAAAAACAAATTGTCAATCAAACCCTATTTGCAATGTAGTGGAGGCAAATATTAGTTGAACATTCAAATATTGTTTTAAGGGGAGTGTTTAACATGCTTAGAATTCTTTCTAAAACCCTGTTTGCAACGAGTTGAACATTCAAATATTATTTTAAGTGGAGTGTTTAATATGCTTAGAATTCTTTCTATTCTTTGTGTTTTTCTATTAGTTGTTAAATTTCAGATTCTATCTAAAAAATTCTTCTTTCTCCAACTTTAGTCTTTGTGCCTTTTGTGTTGTTTCCTTTATTACTAGTCCTTTATCTTCTTTTCATTTTAATACAATATATATCTTTGAGGCAACACAAGAGTCAGTTATAAAAGTGATGGATCAAGATTTTTTGAAGTTGGATTGTTTTGATGGATCTGGCACTAACTTTAACTGTTGGAAGGACAAGTCTTTCTCACCGCCTTGAAAGTGTCTTATGTTCTAAGGCCCAATTTAGAGGACATTCCTCTGCCTATGGAAGGAAAGTCTGATGAAATTAGAAGAAATATGCACAATATGAGGAAGATGAAATCATTTATCATGGTCTTACTCTCAACAATTTCTCAGATTCGGTGTATGACCTCTTCTTAAGTATGAAAAACCTAAAGGAGATTTGTACCAACGTTAAAAGAGAGTATGCAAATAAAAAACAAAGGGCATATAAGTTTCTCATTAAAAAGTACTTTAAATTTAAGTTGATTGCTAATTTTTCGCTTACGGATAACGTCAAAATTAAAAGCCATTCGTGTTGAAATCTCAGAATTTTTGCAAGTTAGGGTGATTAAAGCCAGATTGCCTCAAAATTGGAATGACTATCAAAAGAAATTGTTGCAATATTCTAAGAATGTGGCTGTGTCTATTTTCTAGAACACTTGAGAATTGAAAAATGGGCAAGACCTTTTCAAAACTTTAAAACTGAGAAAATTCTAATGTAAATTTTGTGGCTTACAAAATAAGAGAGAAATAATATGGGACTTCAAATGAAAAAAAATTAGGAAATGTTTTAACTATGGTATAAAGGGTAATTACAAGGCCGATTGCAGGTCCAACAAGAATCAAAAGGTAAACAACATCTCAAGTGTGAATCTTGTTAAAGATAATGCACCGGTTGTAGCGGTTCTCTTGCTTGGAACCGGTGACCGAGTTGAACACAGTTACACTACTTCTAAAGATTGATTGTACAATTCTAGGGTTTGGTATCCATGTGTGCAAAGACTATGTTCAATTTAAAATGGTGTAAGGGCTCAAGTTCAAGGCAAATGAGAAGTGTATTTGCAATTCACCTTCGGAAAGAAACAAGTTTTACTAATGTACTTCATGTTTCTTGTATTGTTAGCAATCTTTTATCAACCGGCATCTTTAATAAAATGGAATTAAAGATATTCATTGAATCTGACAATGTAATCTTGTCAAAAATAGGGTGTTTGTAGGAACAGGTTACTCTTATAATGGCATGTTCAAGTTGAGTATAATAAGATGAATGATGTTTCTATTTATTCGATTGAGTCTTGTTATTTTCTTTTGGCATGGCACATTAGGACATATGAGCCATCAAGTTTGTTTCTTTTATGTCTACAAATAGAATAATCAATTTAAGTGACTTGGAAAATAATAAGTGTGAAACTTGCTTGCAACCCAAAATAACAAAAATATCTTTTCCTAAAGTTGAAGGAAATACATTTTTGTTTGAACTGGTACATTCAGATGTATGTGAATTTGAGATATTTAGTAAGAACGAGACCGCAACTTATGGCACTATTTTTTTATAATTAAGTGTTAAAAATATGAAAAACGATTACTTTCCAAATTCATGGACAACCAAAAATAGGTTTAAGTTAGGAAAAGTGATTATAAAAATATATCACTATAATGTTAACGTTTGTTCATCCAAGGCCTAGAAGAAGTTTATTGTCCAATAGAAAATCAAAAGCCCGTATCTTAAAAGTAGAAGATATTATTTTTAAACCAAAAGACCACATTTTGGAGATAGAGGGCTGGGAGGGGGTTAAGAAACATAATTATAAGTGATGAGTCCAATATTTGCATACATTTTTATATAATTTTCTTTAAGATTTATGTTTGTTTTTATATACTTTAAATATGATTTTACTTAATAAATCTTTATTTCCAGGATTTGAAAGATTGCAAGTAATTAGAGTTAAAAGTGGACGAATTTTACTCAATTAAAGAGGAAAAATAAAGCTAAGGACAGAAGTGAAAATTTGAGAAACTAGCAAGGAAGAAAGTAGTGATTCCTAAAGGGCCACACCCAATTGATTAATAATAAATTATATTTTTTTTTCTCTCTATCTCTCTATACGAAACCCTAAAAATCTAACTCAGGCTGCCGCCCTGATGGCCGAAAATCACTCAACGCCGCTCCCCACTTGAACGTCAAGGACCTTTGCTAGCCTTTTTTTAGAAGAATAGTAATCAAATCTCACATACAATAGTCCGTACTAGATTGTTGAACCCTAAAGATTTCAAGAACTGGAACTCGAATATGACAATGATGAATATGAGGAGTTTGTTTCTCCTCATCGGATGAGCCTTGTTGGAAAATTCTCTTATGGGCGGCCAACTATGGACGAATTGAGAGAGAATTTCAAGAAAATAGGGTTTAAAGGCTCTTACTTTCTAGGCATGTCTTGATTCAATTTGATCGGGAGGAAGACTATTAACGATGCTGGATGGGTTCGATCTAGGAAGTTGGAGGCTTTCAGATCCGAATACTAAAGTGGATGCCGGGTTTTAAGTTTGAGGAAGACCCCCCTATTGTGCCAATTTGGGTCTCGCTCCATAAGCTGCCTCTAGAATGGACACATCCAAAGGTTTTATACTCCATGGCTACAGTAATAGGTAAACCTCTACAGGTTGATGCACCTACCATGAACCTGACTAGGCCATCTGTGACTAGATTTTGTATACAGGCTGATTTGATAAAAGAGCAGTCAATTCAAAGCAAAAAAGCATGAACAAATTTTCACTTCTGAATTTATTCCCTCGTATTGTAAAAGTTGCTGCAAGATAGGACACAAAGAAGCCGATCGTAGAAAGGGTAGGTCCGTACATAAATATGATTCAATGCAAGAAAAGAAAAAAGTTTTGGAAGATCCGAAGCATAAAAAGGCTGATACAAAAGCTTCAAAGTCAAAGTTTATCATGCCAAAGCCAATACCAAAATGGAGACCAAGAGTTGCATCACAAGCAGGGACCAACAAAGTCTCGACTTTAGGTCTCTCAGCAAAAGAGAAAGAGGCTGTTGCTATAGATCTGGAGGGAAATCACAAGGTGAACAAAATAATTGAGCCAGCCAAGATGATCAGTACGTCTCAGGAAAATAATGGAAAACATGAAGAAACTTTGGAGCAGGAGAAACAGCTGGCTGTTTTACAACAACGTGCTGTTAGGGAAGAAGAAACCAGCATCAATCCGGATTCGAGAAAATTAAATTCTTCATTGTATGAAGCTCAAGATATTTTCTCAGACTTTGTGATTAATGAGACATTAATGACATGCAAAGAGCAAGTGTTGTCTTGGGATGATGGACATGTGGGAAGAATTTCTACAGATGAAAATGAAGAAGATATTTGTCACCGATAGTCTGATGGGGAGAAGGAGGATGCTGAAATTGATACTTCTGAGGCTACTAAGGTTACCAAGAAGAGAGGAAGGAAAGGAAAAAACACGAGCAGCAGTCCCTTGCTCCATGCCACATACATTAAATGAAGACTCCAAGCTTTTGGTCATCACCAATTGGTAGAAATAATTTCGGTGGGCCTATGACCTTTATTGATTATATGTAGACCATGTTGAAAAATATTCCAAACTAAATATGAAGACTGACCTTGCCCTTGCAAAATCACCACATCCATGAACATTAACATTGTTCATAAGCAACTCTAGCAGTTGTGCCTTGATACTACAATCAAGGCTCTTAAAATGAAATCCTATAAAAGACAAACTTGCAGCCAATTTATCCAACATCCTTACAGTGTGTCATAATAAACAAAAGAGTGGTGATTTTGCCACAGCAATAATTAACATCCAGTAGAAATTTTGTTTTAATTTCCAAATTTATCCCTTATGAAGTCAATCTTAATATCCCTCCCCTCTGGTTACCTAGCTTAGTCCAATCTCCTTTTTCTCCTCTCCCCTTCTCTTGCCAGCTCCACAACCTCAATTCGACCCATAGTAGCTGACATCCTTTTCTATGTTTGATGATTTCATCAGCCTCCCCCAAGTTTATAACTAATAGGGTGCACTATTTGCCTAAATTTGAGAATGTAGGTCTTTTGTGAAAATTTGATCAATTTTCAATTCTTAAGTGATGCCTGGAATCTAATGGTAAACTTAGATAGTTCCACTAATCAATTATGTAATTAACAATAATGGTATAGGAAGATTTTACTTTGATTGATTTTGTGTATTTATTGGGGTATTTGTATTCTATGGTTTCCTCCTTACAGTGTGTCATAATAAACAAAAGAGTGGTAATTTTGCCACAGCAATAATTAGCATCCAGTAGAAATTTTGTTTTAATTTCCAAATTTATCCCTTATGAAGTCGATCGTAATATCCCTCCCCTCTGGTTACCTAGCTTAGTCCAATCTCTTTTTTCTCCTCTCCCCTTCTCCTGCCGACTCCACAACCTCAATTCGACCCTTAGTAGCTGACATCCTTTTCTATGTTTGATGATTTCATCAAACTCCCCCAAGTTTATAACTAATAGGGTGCACTTTTTGCCTAAATTTGAGAATGTAGGTCTTTTGTGAAAATTTGATCAATTTTCAATTCTTAAGTGATGCCTGGAATCTAATGCTAAACTTAGATAGTTCCACTATTCAATTATGTAATTAACAATAATGGTATAGGAAGATTTTACTTTGATTGATTTTGTGTATTTATTGGGGTATTTGTATTCCATGGTTTCCTCGTTTTGATGGATCTTTTTTTTTGGGGATTTTTGGGAAAATTTTTTGCCTCTTCTTTTCATTATTTAACTGTGATGAAAAAGTCAAATGCTCCTCATATGTAATGTAAGCATGGGCTATGTCCCTATGAAAAATAATTGGAGTTCAATTTATATTGACAAAACATGTTAAATAGTTAGAATTCCTCCTTTGTTTTAACTTGTAATATTATTATATGTGGTGAGTTTGCGAACCTTATACTGTATCTCCTCTCTTTAAACTGCATTGAAAATGTTTGGTGCCAAAGTTTGTGACAAAATACAGAGGTGCGCCAAGTGGAGAGAGACAAGGATAAAATTAATTAATTGATAAAGAGGAGAAAAAATAATAGTCTTTTGACTTCATGAGGGATAAATTTAGAGATTAAAGCAAAATTTGCACTGGATGCTAATATTTGTTGTGGCAAATTCACCACCCTAAACAAAATTAAGTATGAATAATAGAATGTTTCCATTTAGGTTTCGGGTTTAGCACAACTTATATGGAAAGAAGTCAAAAAGATGAGGACGGTTCCAGTCTAGTATAACATTGTCCTTTCTTCCGAAAAGAAAAAGTTTTCATCCCATATCTATCGAACCTTTAAAGCCATGGGTCTATAGAGATAACATGGCTCTTCAACTATGAAATTGTTGCAACCGTTATCATCAAAATAAACATCATACACTAGCAGTTTGTCCAGTCAATCTAATTGTTTATCCATGGATCATGATCCAACTCTTAAGAAAAAATATCTGCAACATCTTCAACATTTGCAAGAGAACGGGGTTGATCAATCCAATTTTGAGGAGACATATTGGAGTTCAATGTCACACAAACCCCTATACTAATGGGAACGAACAAATTTAATCACAGTAAAATTTCGAATATTTGAACACAAAACAAAGAACCTGTAGCCGAACCCAAGAGCTAGTAGCACGCCTTCTAATATTTGATTAGCCAACACAAATGATGTGGTACCAAATGGTTTGATCAATCAAATCTAACTTTTAATCAACCAAAAAAAAAAATCATGAAGATCCACTTTAGTCCACAAATAAAAAAAATCCAATACCAACTTAATATAATTCATCAATTAAATTGAGTTAATTAAATCTTATTTCAGCAAGATGCAGAAAACAACAAAAATGCAAAGGAATTCTCACAGCAAATACACTGATAGTGTTCGGCCTTCTGAGCTCCAAATAGTTTATTATTATATTGGAATCGTTAGAACCAGAAAAAACTAATGTAAGATTGTTCGTCTCTGATGTCAATTAACGCAGCGAAAACCCAAGCCTTGAAGGCGAATAACCAAACCAAGAAACTGTAATTGATAATCATCATAAATCTATTTATTCGGCGAATGAATACCCAAAATCTAATAATGCCCATATCATAAGGTATATAGAATCCATTGATTCAATGATTGAATACTAGAAGGTAGGCTGCAAATCTCTATCGAGAACTAGGGATGAGAGAAATAAATATCAATTTTTATCAAAATTAAACAACAACGTACAATGAGGCCGCTATGCCACTTATATAGGAAATAAGTACCAAAATAAAACCAGATAAACCTAATACAAAATGACCAAAATAACCTTATTAATTAAAACCCTAATATACTCTTCATCAAGTCAACCTTTACAACACAACTAACTTCGATATTTCTAAAGTAGCTTCCATTCCCATCCTTTGGCTACCAAACATGATTCTTTCTTTCTTCCCTTGATGTTGGACGATATTAAACTATTTTTGTTGAAATAAGTGTGAGTATTGTAGAATGAAAATGAAGATGAGAGACATAGTTTCCATGTTGTATACAAGTTCCAATATAGATATTTATTTAATATCATCAAAAGAATCAAAATAGCGGAAATTAGGGTGTTGCCTTAGTATTTATTGAGTATTTAAAAGGTAAAATCTCCTTAAAAAGAGTACGAGAAGATAGACACTACTAATGTTTAGCCACAATATTAGGTTTATTGGTGGTAGTTTTTGTTATGCTTGCAATGTGATTTATTTGTACGATATTTGAACTTTTTTTTGTGATAAAAAATGTAATGAAAAGAAAAAACGTTGAGAAACTTGGATTTAATTTGAAAAGATACAAAGTTGATTAGGGAACGAATAAAGTTGACATCGATTGGAATGAGAGAGCAACATGAGCTAATGTCATAAAAGGAAAAAATAAAGTTTTATATTCCATTTTTTTCTGAATATTTTTTTCTGAATGAACATTTTTATGTTGGTAGAGATTCTCATTAATGGTTTACTTTTCTTTAAGAAGATGCTCACAAAAACAATTTATGGGTATCTAAAAGGGCAGGTTAATTAGGCTTTGGTTATTTCTAAGATGGGTTTGGAACTTGAGTTTGATGTTAATGACTTTAAGAATTTAAGTGTTGTTTGTCTTTGTGAGATGTTCACATTACTTCAGTTAGGTAGAATTACAAACTTAAAGATTATATGTGTGAAACTGAGTAACTAGTTCAATTAAAAAATTGATTATTGTATATGCTCTAAGTGTTAATTCAAACAATAAATAACAAGTAACCACTGAAGTAAATTGGCAATTTCTGGTCTCAAACCTCAACTTCTATAAAGGGAAAAAAACGAAACTAGTTAAACTCTTACAATCTTCTTCTTAATCTTTATTTATTTATTTATTTTACTAGAATTGCACACTCAAAACTAGAAAAATATTCAAATAGTTAGTCCATTCACACGAAACCAATCAAACAGTCCAAAAAAAAAAGGAAATCTATCATTTATTTTCTTTAAATTATCATATGTTCGAAGTGGTACACCTACATTATACATAATAGACAGGTTTATCAAATTCATCTAAAACACCAAAAGGCATGTTTTTTTTTTTTTAAGATGATCAACAAGGTACAAGTTAGATCAAGTGGATGTAATTAACAACTTGTAACTGAAAAGTGTCCATAGACAAAGAGTTTTAAGAGGACATAATCATAGGCATGGTCTAAACAGGTGATAGAGAATTATTCGGTAGTTGATACAAATAAAAAGGTCACACTTTAGTTAGGATAGAATATTTTGCCTCCACAACTTACACAGCTTCCGGATCGGCGACGAGATGATTGCATAGCAGGATAATCCATTGGTGTTGGTGATGCAGGAATGTTAACATTGTAACATACTCGGACCTCAAGTAGTTGACACTTCCCGCCAAATTTGATACACTTGAAATATGAAATTCTTCCCACCTCGTGAAAGATGGTTGCATTTAGTTGAGGGAATATATAACCAGCAGTTCTCGGTGATATAAAAGTATTTGCAAGGATGGTTTTGATGTCTAATTTGTTGCTCAATTGAACAACAAGACTAAAATATTGTACTTGGACGTATATGTTGGTAAAGAATTTTCCATAATCATCCCATTCGTGCTGCCAAAAGCCTTGGTTAGAAAATGCATCCCTTGCAGATATCTTTAAGTCCGGCCATACGGTGTCGACGTTGGCTGCCTCAGCTCGACTCAGTGCAACATAGGCCTGACTCGATTGGCAGGGGGGAATCATAGTTGTCAAGTTATCTGGCCATAGGCCATGAATGGTAAACTTATTCGGAACTATAGATCGCTTACAGCATGCAGTTTTGCATAAGGTTTTTGGCCGTTGATACACC